CTACTTTTATCTCTGCTGCTATGATAAAACAGCCTGACTAAAGCAACTCAAGGGGAAAGGGCTTTTCAGCTCACAGCTCCAGGTTGTTGGAAAGTGGAGACAGGAACTTCGTCTTGAGGCATCTGGTCACATCCATAGTCAAGAGAGAAAAGGAAAGCTTACTTGTGCTCACTCCCTCTCCACACATAAGCAGTCTGGAATCCCTGACTAAGGAAAGGTGCCACCTACAGTAGGCTGTCTTCCTACCACAATTGACATATTCAAATTAGTCCCCACAGACACTGCCACAGGCCAACCTGACTGAGACAAACCCTTGTTGAGACTCTTTGCAGGTGGTTGTAGATGTGCCAGGTTGGCAATGAAAACCATCACATGCTACGTGGGGTGGCACAAGCCTTGAGTCACAGCACTCAGGAGGCAGGTAGATGGTTTTGAGTTTGATGTAAGTAGTGAGTTCCATGCTGGAGCTACAGAGTGAGAGCTGAAAAAATTACTGTAAAAACTACACATCACAGATGTGCCCATGATGGGAAGCCAGACCACATTCCTAGTCTAAAGTCTGTAGGCTGTGTAACCTCTTTTTCCTGCCTTCCTCTTTCCATCGTTTCCCCTCCTCTCTTCTCTTTCTCCTTCCCACCCTCCTTTTCTCTTCCTCTCTCTTTTCTGAGATATGCTTTTACTCTTAGCTAAGGCTAGCCTCCAGGTGACTGTAATCCTACTGCCTTAGCCTCCTAAGTGCTGGGATTGTAGGACATTCCACTCAGCAAAAATGTTTTGGAGACAGGGTCCCATTATATAGTGCTACACTGTAGCACAGGCTAGCCCCGAAGGCCCTGCTTCAGTCTTCCAAGTGCTGGAGCTATAGGCGTGTGTTAGAGCACCTCGCTTGCCCATGTTCCTTCTCTCTCTCCCTCCCTCCCTTCCTTTCCCTGCCCCTCCCTTCATTTCTGTGACAGGGTCTCATGTAGCACAGGCTAGCCCCTAACATACTATGTAACTCAGGATGGTCATGAACTTCTGAACTTCCTACCTTTGCTTCCCAAGTGGGGATTAGAAACATGTACCACCAGGCTCGGTTTTTGTTTGCCTCCCCCCCCCCACCACCACCACGCACCCCCTCTCCCTTTATCTGTTATGCCTGAATTATAGCAGTAGTTCCCAATCGTGGAGTTCGGTGTGAAGAGTTCCCAATCCTGGAGTTTGGTGGGAAGAGTGTTACAAATAAAGCCAGAGCTTGGAGCCTGCCTCTGTCTTTTGCAATGGAAGGGCAGATGGGTAGGCGTGTGGGCGAACAAACAGGGCAGGGTGGAAGCCAGGGCCTCTGGAGCCCGGGGAGTGAACGAATCACACACACTCACACAGAGATCCCTTAGACATTTTATTAGGGCCTTAGGTGGAACTGGGGGGTGGGATCTTTCCTCTTCCCTGGGAGGATTTCAGATCTGGACATAGGACAAGTTGACGTCACCTTCGATTTCCAGCATGTCTATCTTGTGGAATGCTTGGAACCGGTGCGAGTAGTCGAAAAAGTGCTGGCCGTTGGCGAACACCTTGAATCGATCCGTGCCGCAGCGGATTGACAGCTGCGGGAGGAAGAAGGGAGAGGTAAGGCCCACGGCTGGACCCGGGTCTGTGGGGGGTGGGAAGGGGTCTCCCAGACTCACGTCAAAGAACTGCCCGGGGCCGAACGGGTTGTAGGTAATCTTCCTCTCCTCGGAGCCCCAGGAGCCATTCAGAAAGCTGTTGCGAACCACACCCTCACCGATTCGGGGGTTGATGTGGAGAGCTACGTCACCCGATGACCCCACCTTGAAGTTGATGGTAAATCTGAGAACAAATAAGGGGTCAAATGGGGTCTAGCATCGGAGTCTTGAGGAGGGCTGGGGTCTTGATCTCTGGGCCTGAGGGAGGAGGGGGAAACCTGGGCTCTTACCTCCTGGCTGTGGGAAGTATATAGCCTTTGATTATGATGGTTCTTCGGGCTGTAAGCCCCCCATATAGGGCCCCCACATATGGCACAGGCTGTAGAAAAAGAACATGGGGTCCCATCCAGTCTCTCATTAGAGAATCGAGGTACAAGACCACATTTTCACAGACAGGAAGAATGGGCCCCAACCATGTTTCTTCCTGAACAACTTACTCCTTACCCCCCACCCCCAAACCCTCAGCCCTCATGTAGTCCACCCTTTCTGGGCTCCCCACATTCCCCGCATCTCTTCAGCTTGCTCCCCAAATTGCTGCTAGCCCCGGGAACACCATACCGGGTTGAAGGTTGGGGGTCCCGCCATGACCTACACAAGAAGAAAGGGATATCACTATTCAACATTTGACAAATACCTCGTCCAACCTATCTCCATCCCTCTCCCCACCCCAAATTCTTTACATCCCTCCACAGGCCCACCATGCCCCTCCCACTTACAGGCAGGCTGTTCATCTGTGGAGGGTTGTATCCAGGACCCTACAGGGTGGACAGACAAAGCAAGAGTGGTGAGGGAAAGTGGGGTCCTTTGACTGCCCCTAAATCACCTCTGCCATTAATCCTCCACCCCTTAGCAGGTACTTACAGGTTGAGTCTGAAAACCCATAGGTCCCTGTGGACACAGAGAAGAAAGGAGGTCATGGTTAGCACCCCTAATTCTAGACTGGAAAGTATCAAGGAGAATACCTTGGGGCAGTCCCTCGGGTAAGGCAATAGACCATGCTGTATTTTAGGGACCACCAGAGCATCAGTGGCTTTGGGACAACATCTGGTCTATTCTATTCTTTGCTCCTCCTTCCACAACCTTGTATTAGTGACTGTCCCGGGCCCCTCATCCACCCCTTGCAGCTCCCTAGCTGAGGATCAATCTAGAAAGTGGAATTCTGAAGGCAAATGGGGCCCTTGGTACTTCTTTCCAGGCCTGTGACCACCAACATTCCCAGCTCCTGCTTTACCCACCCAACCCTGGGAGCAAGCTGGAATCCTGGGAGTCATCCCAGGCTCCTGTCTCTGCCAGGCTCTCTGCTTGCCTGCTCACATCTATCTCTATCTATCTCGGTGGCTCGGTCTCTCGCAGCGCCACGATGCTATATACAGGTGATTTATTCTGTCCAGAAAGCCTTCCCATCCCCATCATCCTTTTTTGTTGTTTTGTTTTGTTTTGTTTCTCAAGACAGGGTTTCTCTGTGTAGCCCTGGCTGTCCTGGAACTAGGTATGTAGACCAAGCTAGCCTTGAACTCAGAAATCCACCTGCCTCTGCTTCCTGAGTGTTGGGATTAAAGGAGTGCACCACCACTGCTCAACTTTCTTTCTTTCTTTTTTTTAAGACAGTCTGGCTGTCCTGGAATTCACTATATAGACCAGGCTGGCCTTGCACTCACAGAGATCCACCAGCCTCTGGCTCTCAAGTGCTAGGATGGTGTGTGCCACCATCAACCTGAGGTGTTATAAGTGCTCTTTACTGCTATCTCCCTAGCCCCCAGGTTGGCAGCTACTTTCAGGCTTTTGTTAGCTAATTGGTTGGTATTGAGAAAGGAACTCAGGAACTCATCCCATACCCTAAGCTAGTTTACTCTAGCTGAGCCACGCCCCCAGCCCCTCACTGGGGGGATTCTAGGCAGGGGCTCTACCGCTGAGCCACGCCCCCAGCCCCTCACTGGGGGATTCTAGGCAGGGGCTCTACCCCTGAGCCACGCCCCCAGCCCCTCACTGGGGGGATTCTAGGCAGGGGCTCTACCACTGAGCCAATGCACCAGCCCCTCACTGGAAGATCCTGGGCAGGTGCTCTACCATTAAGCAAGCTTCAACTTGAGACTTTTGGCAGTGGCGTGCTGCTTTATCGCAGTGGGTGTGTGTTGGAGGCTCCTCGTAGGCTGTGTACCTGGGTGTGGAGCTTCTAGGACACTAGGACCCATATTTGTTTGGCATTCAGATCTTGCTCTGTTGGCCAATTTCCAACGTTATTGCACCAAACTACACTGAACAGCCATATGGTAGCTGGGCTAGGTGACCCACATGCCTGCAAACAGGACACAGGGTTTGTTCCATCACCACCCTGCTGGGTGTGCAGTGGCAACTCAGTGTGGCTTTGTGTTTACCGGGTGACTAATGTGGTAAGCAGCCTGTCCTGAATTTGTACGCTAGTCTTTTATCTGCTGGTCTTTTCTCGTCTCACTTTCTGACTCAGTTTGTGTGCCTCTTCTTCCTCCTGGAAGCCCTTCTTGTCTAAGTCAGATTCTTCCTTTAGATGCTCAGAACGCCTTGTCATAACCCCGCCCCCAGGCTAGACCCTCTGCCTGAGCCTCCTTAGCTGGATCCTGACCCTCTCTCTACCTGCATCCCCCTCATGGTCTTGACCACGGAAGCCATGCTCCTCTGGTTACTTGTCTATATTTTTGATGGGCTGATAGGGAGGTCCTTCTGTGTATGTTCATCTTATTGGCTGTTGAAGAAAGTATTGTTTGGGGCTGGAGAGATGGCTCAGAGGTTAAGAGCACTGGCTGCTCTTCCAGAGGTCCTGAGTTCAATTCCCAGCAACCACATGGTGGCTCACAACCATCTATAGCGGGATCAAAATAAATAAATCTAAAAAATTTTTTTAAAAATAAAAAAAAATAATAAAGTACTGTTTGGCCAATGAGGCAGCAAGTTAGGTGTGACTAGGAGTCAAGGGGGATTCTGGGAAATGTAGTAAAAAGAAGTCTTGTGATCCATGCAGGAAGTGACATAGCAGGCAGACTCAAATATAAGCAGGGACAAGCAAGAAATTGCTCTCTTCCTCTTCCTCCTGCTTTCTTCTCTGGAGCCAACATGTGAGCCTGACAAGAGAGGACACATGCCTCCAGTGTCCTTGATCAGATAAGTCTTTATAAAATAAATATATTAATAATTATGTTTGATACTTAAGACAGAGATAGCAGATAAGATAAGTCATTAGCCAGCAGCATTGTAATTAATATAAGACTGTGTGTTATTTCAGGTATACATGGTGGCGGGGCTCAGGTGACTTGGTTGAAAGACTTATCATTACAGGTGGATCAAGTGATGAGCGTGAGAATAGGTCCAGGGCGCAAATGAAGAGACATTCCTTACCGGATACGGGGCCGGGGCAGACTGGCCTCCAAGGAAGTTGATTGACTGAAGTTCCAAGTCTCCGTCCACATGCAGATGGTTGACCATCTGTATCGGCGTGCCCATATTCATAGAAGGGCTCTCCATTTACCACCACCTGGGGGGCACAGAGCAGGTGTCGGGCATCAGCACCACGACACAAAGGACGGTGGGATTGTATTTATTTACTTAGTGTGTATGCATGTGCAGGTGTGCTCATGTGTGTGCAGGTGCACACGTGTGTGCACACGTTTTTATGGAGGCCGGAGATCAGCTGTGAGTGTTGTATCTCAGAGCCATCCATCCATCTGCCTTGTTCTTTGAGGCAGGGTCTCTCACCACACCTGGCAGTTGTCAAGCGGGCTAGGCTGGCTAGACAGCCAGCTCCAAGGATCCCTCCTTCTCTGCCTCCCTGGAGCTGAGATTAGAGCCTGGCCCACCACTCCCTGCTCCCTATGTGGGTGGTAGGGATAGAACTCAGGAACTCAGGACTTGCATAAACAGCACTTTACCGACTGGGCCATTTCGCCAGTGCCAAGGGGTCCTCTCCCCCCAAACCCCACCAAGAGACAGGGTTTCTCTGTGTAACCCTGGCTATCCTGAAACTCACGGTGTAGACCAGGCTGACGTCGAACTCACAGAGATCCGCCTGCCTCTGCCTCCCGAGTGAGTGCTGGGATTAAGGTGTGCAACTTTAAATTAAAACTAGCAGTGGTGGCTCACGACTTGAATCCCAACACAGAGGCAGGTGGATCTCTGTGTGATCATGGCTGGCCTAGGCCGTATAGCTAGTTCTAGGAAAGCCAGGCCTGTATAGAGACCCTGTCTCAAAAAAAGCAAACAAATGAAACAAAACCAGAAAACCGGAAAAAGTAAAAAGAAGGCTGGGAGTGTGGCTCAGTTACTTTTTTTTTTTTTCACTTTTTTTTTTTTTTTTTTTTTTTTGTTTTTTTTCGAGCGGGGTTTTTTTTGTTATCCGGGCCCTCGCTCTGGAGACCAGGCTGGCCTCAAACTCACAGAGATCCACCTGCCTCTGCCTCCCGAGTGCTGGCTCAGTTACAAAGAACGCACTTTGCACTTGCTCGGCAGGCGCAGTTGGCACGAGGCTATAATTCCATCAGCAGGGTAGATGGCAGTGAGGACAAGAGGACAGCAGGGAGGGAGGGGCTACGGGAAGGGGGAGGGCTGGCTGCAGGGAGGGGCCCAGACCTTGTAGTGCTCAGGCATGACCATGAAGACCAGCTCGAAGTGTTTGCCCTTGTGGAAAGGCATGCTCTTCTTCCTCTCCTCGTTGCCCCACTGTCCACTCTGCTTCGTGTTGAAGACCACCTTGTCCCAGCCGTCAAAGCGGGGATTAAAGTGGAAAGCAATGTCTGTCTCCTCACCCTGTCCCACCGTGAAGTCCACACGGAACCTGGTGGCATATAAAGAGCTGGTTCGGCGTCTGCCTGCCAGGGCGTGGGGCCTTCTATAAGAAGCTCTGACTTCATCCTGTCCTGGGGCCTCCCTGACTGGGCCCTGACACCATGGGCCAGCTTACAGGCAGGTAGGGACCCTGAGTTCCATCTGGTAGAGTCTAGCGGCCACCTCTCCTCTCTGCTTCTCTTTTCATCTCTCCAGAGTCTCCTCAGCGATCACGGTGAATCAGACTCTCTTTCTTAGGTCCTTTTTTTTTCCTTTTGGGGGGGCAGTGGGAGGAGGGTGATATAGGTCAGGGCTCACTCTAACTTGTGATGCTCCTGCCTCGGCCTCCAGAATGCTGGGGTCGCTGGCGTGCACCACCTGAGGGCAAGGATCTTTGTTCCCATCCAGATTCTGTTCCCAGCTATTTTGAAGGAGGGAACACCAAATAAAGATACAAGAATTGGGGAACTGGAGGGACACTTTAGCCGGTGCTTACTATGCAAGCCTTAGGAAGCCATGGGAAAGCTGGGCCTCGTGCTAACTGGCCAGCCAGCCTAACCAACAAGCTCTAGAGCCCAGTGAGAGAATCTGTCTCAAAAAACAAGGTGGATAAACCTTTAATCCCAGGGAGGCAGAGGCAAGCAAATCTCAGTGAGTTTGGGCCAGCCTGATCTACATAGCGAGTCCCAGGCTAGCCAGGGCTACATAATGAGACCACTGTCTCAGAAACAAAACAACAAAAAATGCCACTGAAGTTGACCTCTGACCGCCCCAC